AAGGCATATCCAACAAGCGCTGATCTTCTTGAGCAGGAAGGTGACGACGGTCGAAGCAGGGAGACGGTCTCTGGAGGATACGCAAGCGGAAGTAGCAGTGGAATTATTTGTGCCGGTGAACAATAGGGTAAACATGGTGAGGAGGCAGGCTATTCAGATGATGGAGATGTGGAGGCTGCTTGCTTTCGGACTGGCTGTGTTCGTGTAGTATTTTGGGCAAGAGATGGAGGCGACTCACAGGCAGATCAAGGTGATGAACGAAGAAGATGAAGTGATGAAGATCCGCCTGTAACACCCCGGCCCCGCAGGACTCGAGGTAGTTACTCCACACACCATCCAAATCTCTAGTATTGTCCTCACAAACCGCCACTAGCCTTTTCCGCGCGCTTTGTCTTCACTCGTGAGTGCCCTGAGAAACTTCTCAGGGGGTCACCCATCCCAAGACTACTCTCGTGCAAGCACGCTTAACTTTGGAGTTATTAGCTGATGAGATCACTTAAAAGGAGATGCATCTTGTTGGTATGAGTAGTACTATTAATCAGTTTATATTAAATCTCAAGTGTTACACCGCCCCCCTCCTGAACCGCCACCATGGAGGAACTAAGAAATTAAGGATTGGAACACGACGCTTAAATGATGGATTCAACTACTCAATCAGTTTATCTTGCTTAATTTTCTTTTTCCCATTTTTTGTTTGTTAATTATGAACTTCATTATTATCGTTTTGCTTTTGATTATTGTTCTTGGTACTAGGTTTATTATGTTAACCGAGGGTTCGGCTAGATTTGATATTGTTAGAGGGGCGCAAATCTATTTGTTCAACAATACCTGCATTAAGCCTATCTGGTGGTTAGCGATTCGTATTGCTCCTTCACGGGTGATCGTCTCTATGTCTAATCGTAGGGCTAAAAGTAATAGTTGGGAGTTGAAGGTTGTAGTCAGTTATGATCACTTTGAGATTGATGTAACGATCCTGATTCTAATGATATCAATATAGACGTTTCTCCTTTAAAAACACAAATTTTCATGATGGCTTGATATTCACTTGCGTCTAAGCATGAAAAAGCAACTTCTTTTATAGAATAGATAGTAGACTTATATTAAAATACCAAATGAATCCAGAGTTACAATCATCCAAATAGTTTCCAACAAACTTCATCTAAACTCAAGTGACTTCATACGACTAGATTCTGAAATGGTCTTCTGCAAAGAAGTACAAATCAGTGACCATCAAACGAGCAACATAAAGTTCTTACTGAACTTCAAGATCACAGTACTTTTCACCACATCCCTAGACTCGTGATAATCAAAGGGTCCTCTTCGTATCTTCAAAGGGTCCTCTTCGTATCTGATCAAGCATAGAAAAGCTTACCAAAAATTGAGCGGAGCTTTTCGCTAAACATAATATTGGCTTCGAAGCAATTACCTCTGATCATAGCTAAATGAAACATCTCAAGATTACTACAAATGCAAACAATCCAAGAAACATGTAAATTGTCTAACAAATTAAAGAAAAATAAAAGTTGAAATAAAAATAAAGCAGATTTTTTTCCAAACCCTATACACTCTTTTACTACACAACAACGATTCATGAGGGGACGAATCATCAACAATTCATCTGCTTCCAATTTGGATTCAAAACTTCCATCAAAAGAACTTCATCTTCCTCCTCCATTTGAAACTTGCCATAAGCTTGTGACAAGTCATCTATGTCTGCCTACCTCGAACCTTCCATTCGTATCTCTAGATCGTTGTTGAGAAGTTGTCGCCTAGTGCCTGTCTCCAACCTCAAGCCACCTCCTGATCGAATCCCTTCGCTATAAACCTTCTTAGTGCTTAGAATTGCTACGCTGTCAAAACCCTACTCCATAGAAACCTCCTGCCCGCAACTCCGCAAGGCCGCAATCCTTCGGCTTGTACGGAGTATTTAATAGGTTAGAACAGTACTAACGTGAAAAGGCAATTTTTTTTTTGGAAAACCAGAAAAAGAAAAAATATACTACGTACATACGAAGTACTAGTATTCGACAATAACGTCTAATAACGTATAATAGACAATAATTTTTAGTCATTATTTTTGTAGAAATTGATGATCCAATAATCAAAATAAATAGTTTCTTAGGGCTAAGTAGAGAAATCTTAAGAGATACTCATTCGTTCAAAAGAAAAAAGTTAATCTATTAACGTTATTTGTGTTGTGTATATTCAGTGGCAGACCCAGAAATTTTCCTAAGCGGGGGCACTCCCACATAGATGAAAATGGGTCGGGTCAGGTCAAATTGAGTGTATCATTGGTCTTTTTTGTCAAGTGTGTTCAAATTAATATTTTTAACTGGAAATAGATTATTCAATGCTGACGTCAAACAATGAACATATATGGATTATAAGTCTAATTGTGAACTCATTAAGACAATTCTAAACAATAATACTTGGCTTTTTGAAAGAAAGACATAATTTGGCGGATTAGAAATGACTCATCTTTGCGTCGTTTCTGATTTTACATAAGATTTTTTGCTATTTTTCATACTATAAAACGATCAAGATTTCATATTTGAACTAGGATCATATCGTTGTTATACATTGTGCCACAAAATTTGTTGGTACTTGTCTGATATATAATACTATCATGTTAAAAATGAAATATAAGTCAAGTTTAGGATTTCATCATTTAATACAACTTTATTTAATAATATGATTCTATATATCTACCTTTTACGAGTATCATATTATAGAAAAAATTAAAGGGTATGTCAGTTTGAGACTAATTTATCGCGAATTGACACACTTTTTCATGTATGGACTTTTGTTCAAGATAAAAGTCTTCAATCTATTAAGTTTATCCCGCATATTAGAACCCTTGTCATATCTTTGAACTTTAACTTTGGACCGACATTATTCACACCAAGTAAAAAAAACATCAATGACACTTTTCAAAGAAAGTGTAATAACCATATAACAACATATCTAACTATAAGAATTTGCTCCATCACAACTTGAGAGTTGTTTATATTTCTTAGTACAATTATTATATGTCTTCGACGGAGTCCTATATACGGAGTATCTAATAGTTTTTTGAAATAATGACAATTTGATTGAAATAAAGATAGTAGACAAAAATATGACTTAGGTACTATCATAACAATTTTAGTGATCATGATTCTGTTCATTAGTTATATTCCGGTAATATTTATAAAAAGTACTCTAATTTTTTGTCCGGATAGCAGGGACACAATTTTTACATAAAATACTAATACTAAACTTCATGGTCAAAAGCGGGGGCACTTGCCCCCTAGGCCCCTCCCTAGGTTCTCCACTGTGTATTTTCATAGAAAACAGTGCATATATACATAGTATATTATACAATACACTTCGATTTCGATACAATATCCTTTCCTCTAATTTTGAGTATCATGTTGTAGTCATTTTTAGATTTGAACTTTGCAATTCAATAAACCTTTTAATATAATTTTAAGATGTACACATTCTTATTGCTATCACTAACGTAAAAATTGTCTCAAAAGGATTAACTTTATATTTAGCCAAACTTATAAATCATTTTTGCAAAATGATTTGGGGCAAATGGAGTATAATATTAATATTTATTGGGATTGTGTATACTTAAATAATAATTAAAGTCATGTGCAGAATTTGTGTGTGTGTGTGAAGCTTTTCATGCATTGTCCAACCAATAAGTACGTTATGTAGAAGTAATATATTAATTAAATGTTACAGCACAAAAGCATATAAAAGTTCTTACTTTCCTTTTTAAACGTCCCATATAAAGATTAACATTTTCATTTTAGGAAACAATTAACAATGTTAAATAAGAGCATCTCCAATGCTACAATGTGCACGGTGCACATGTGACATGAGAGAGATAGACACAAAAAATTGAATTTATGACATTTCTCTCTCATTCTATTCACGGTTTTATGTGTTTTGGTAAGTTTTCCTCTGCAATATCAAGCACAATGTCTACATCTAGACAATGTCTAGATGTAGACATTGTAAAGAAAAACTTACCAAAATGATACAAGATCCTTCAAATAAGGAGAGATATATTATATTTATTATTTTTTAATTGGCTATCTCTAATGCCACGTATGCACCGTTCACATTTTAGCATTGGAAATGCTCTAACAAATCAATCACTAAATTTTAAAAATAATACATCTATAATATCACAATTATCAACATTAATCTCATTATATTATATACCTATTAAAATTATTTCTCAAAATATACTCGAACTGTCTTATTTAACTATTGTCTAAATGACCGTACCGTTTTGCCATGAGAACCATTCATCATTGAAGAAATTAAATAATGGTTGTAAAAATGAATTTAATAATTACTATTAGAAGCTAATCATAGAGCGGCACATCAACATTTCAAAACTCTATTAAACTATATATATAAAACAATAGAAATTTAGTAGGTTATCAATACTTGCATGTTACCTTGCCATATCATTAATTTTTTTTTGGTAATTTCATTTTTACTCCAGGGGATCTGGGAGATGGGGGCTGGGGGAGCCTGACATAATAGGGGTTAAAATTCAGCCCATTGAATTTCAACCCTTATGTGCCTAGTGAGTTTCGAACTCGAAATCTCTCACTAGACACGATAACCTCGTAACCAGCTGGACTGAAATGCTTGGTTGCACCACATCATTAATTTTTATTATGCATTATAATTTTCTACTTTCACTCAACTTGGTTATATCAAACACCACTGTCATCACCAACTCCTTATGGACGCTCGATGTTGGCCATTTTTTAAAAAAAAATGTGAGCGTAAAATGTGAAATTAAAGTGAGCCAGTGAGGTGATGACGTTCACCATCTAAAACTTTACGCCATACAGTAAAGTAGATTATTGTTACCAGATAAAATTATGAGTTTAAAAAATAAAATTGACCGATTCTAAACCAAAAATAAAGATTAGCAGGAAGATCTTGTTTGGATTTGTACTGTCGTACCACACATTCTTTTGGCATCAATTCAATGAGATGTAAAGTGGCAACAAAATAAAGTGTATAAATCCGCAAAACTCGCGGCTCCCTTGTAGCCCGATTTCCTAAAACCGGACATATATCTCAATATAAATATTCCTTCTATCTCAGTTTATTTTATTAGTAATAAATATATTCGCAGAAATATTTCAAGTTTCAATAAATTGATTGCTTCATTCATAAATCATCACTGATTTCTTTGATATAACCGAGGAGGATTGGTGATGGCCGAGCATCACTGTGGAAGAGATAACCACCACATGAGGTCGTGCGCCTTGTCGTCGGCCGTCGACGGCGCCGGCGAGATCATTCTGTTCGGCGTCAGAGTGAAAGTAGACCCTCTCAGGAAGAGCGTTAGTCTGAATAACTTGTCTCAGTATGATTACAACAAGATGATCGAATCCACCAAATCAGCGACTGCTCTCGCCGACGAGGGATATGCGTCGGCCGACGACGCTGTCCTCCTCAATCAGCCTACCGGCGGCCGTGAGCGTAAGCGAGGTCCGATTTCTCCCCACCTTAGTTTTAAGTTATCAGATTGAGAATTAATTGCTTCTGTGATTCATATCGTATTGATAAGTTGAAAGTGGTGCATAAATCATTCCCATCAAAATCTTCGGGATGTAGATGTAGCTCTTATTTGCATCCGAATTTTATCATCGGAGAGTTAGTCTGAACTTATCAATTCAAAATTGAAAAAATTGCCTTCCACTTTCCAGATTGTGGATCATCTGGCCTTGAATTGGTTTTCGGTCTCCAGCTTTTGGATTATTTGGACTTTTGAAAAAATTCTTTCCGCTTTCCAGCTTGTGGATTTGTTGGACTTTTTAAAAAACGTTTCCACTTTCCAACTTGTAGATTGTTTTTGGACTTTTGAAAAAATTGATTTCCACTTTACAGCTTGTGGATTATTTGGGGGATAATAAATTTCCTTGTCGTGAAAAAAAAAACGAAAATGATTTATTGTTTTTCATTATGCTGATCAAAGGCTTCTTTTATCAGGAGTTCCATGGACAGAGGAAGAACACAAACTGTTTCTATTAGGTTTGCAGAAGGTCGGGAAGGGAGATTGGAGAGGAATCTCTAGAAACTTCGTCAAGACCCGAACCCCCACTCAAGTGGCAAGTCATGCTCAGAAGTACTTCCTCCGTCGGAGCAACCTCAACCGCCGACGTCGACGCAGATCTAGCCTCTTCGACATTACTACGGATTCGGTAATAATTCAACAACAAAACTTTCCACATTAACTTTTCCGTAGCAAAAGAAAATAGTGTATGATCATTTATTAGCTAGAATGTTATACTCCGTAATTATTACTCTTGGGGTCCTGCCAAAACTACCGTTTTCAGTTGATTGAAATGGCAATAGCATTAAATTCCAGGTTCTGAATTCCTCGCACAAGTTTAACCAACTAGGACTCTTTAATCCAAAATTCTTCCTTTTTATTCTTTTCCTTATCTTATGGCTGTTTGTTTCTCTATGTTTACTAAAATTGGGGCTGAATCTGCTGAAATTTATGAAGTTCTGGCTGAAGTGGTTGTATTGGCTGATTCTGCTGATTCATGAGAAAATTATATTTAAAATATTTGTTATTAATAAATAAAATAAAAATTTATATGAAAAAATAAAATGATCCTCTACAGTAACTTCAGCCAATACAGACAGAAAAGTAACTTCAGCCAATACAGGAAAATATGGGTCACCAAACGGGCTCTATATACACAACTTTCACTTTACCAAGTGAAAATATGAGATTTAGTGGGACAAAGGAAGTAAGTTCTATGAACGAGTGCTCCCCTTCTGGTTTATACTCGTATAAAACTCAAAGATGGTGGCTCACTATGAAAACTTCATGCGTCCCTAAATTTTTGCTTATTTTGACCAAAAAAAGAAATTAAAGAAAATAAAAATTATTTAGTGGGGAAACATTGTAAACCACAAAACTTCTTTTCTTAAAGCCCGATGAGCAATAAATATGTTTGGGACAAACGAGACTTATTTGGTGTTGTGTGTTTTATGAACCGTTTTATAGTGTAGTGGTTGGTCAGAAACCAATATGTGTTCAAACAATATCTTAGTAGTACGTAGTATTTGATACTGTTAAGATATTAAGTATCAAATATCTTAATAGTATATTTTTATACTATTTGATATCATGTGTTCCATTTTAGAAGAAACCGTATATCTTAATAGTATATTTTTATATTTGCCAGTGTTGAAACAATACTTGTTATAGGTGTATCACAGTTTTAAAATTTGTACCATCTTGTGATAAACAGGTTACCCCGATGTTAACCGAAGAGCAAGAATCTCTTACAGCAAACTCAACCCCGGGATCTCTATCCAGCCCATTGCCTATTTCAGAATTATCCCAAAACAGTCCATTTGCATTTGCCAGTACACCTGAGCAAATCAGTTATAGTGTGCAACAAATCCAAGTTGAGGAAAAGCCGATACGCAATCTTACCACTACTCGAACTGATGAGCACAGTGATCCATCGCCCGCGTTCATTTTGCCAGTTCCTGTACCTCATTTGAATAATCCATCAACCCGCATTGTCATTAACTTGAATGAGAGTGTGGAGATGGAGCCTTCATCATTGTCCTTGAGTTTGTCATTGCCGTTTGATCAAACACAAACTCATTCTTCCAGGCACCATCTATATCCGGCGGTGTCCAGTTTGAATAGTGGAGATTCCATCATTGCGGTGGCATGACAAGGGAACTCTTGAAAAGCGAATGATACCTAGAGTGGTTCCGTTATGAAATACGGAGTATGCAGTAATTTGGTCGAGTCGAACACAAATGTTCTTTTGGAAATCTGGATTTTCCATTGCATGTTTACTTCAAAATTAGATCTTTGCACCCCCATGTTTTGTTTTATTTGACTTTGCACCCTGGATTACCCAAAAGTGGGGTGCAAAATCAAATATTAATATGTATAAAATAATGAAGTGCAAAGTCTAAGGTCAGTTTGTTTGATCTACCAGTCTCTATCAGAGGTGGGGGTTACTGTTAGAGATTTGCAATTCTATACTGGTGAATTGAATTGCGACTCGTTCTTATGTTTTTGGGTATCCCTTTACAGTGCGCCTATATTCGGTCGTATCAAATAATCGGAATTAATAAATTCGTAGATTCCTTTGGGTAATTATTTGCTACAAAATATTTATTTATATTCTATTACTCCCTCTGTCCCTCTATTAAATTCCTAATTTGACTTACACACATATTTAGGAATTAAATTTGACTTTACTGTTTAGACACTGTTTGACACTGTTTAGGCACTGTTTGGCACTGTTTGGCACTGTTTGGCACTGTTTGTCATTGTTTTGATATAGGATAACTTTCCATTTAGGGAAATGAGAAGATTATTTTGGGACGGCCAAAAAAGGAAAGTAGGAAGTTAATAGCGGGACGGAGGGAGTATATACAATTTGGAAGGACCTAAGAAGAATCTAAGACATTTTACGTGAATTGGTTCCTCCAGTACAACATGGAGCTTATGAAATCCTAGTGCCATCTCCAATGTATGGTGGACACGACATCGGTCCGGTCCGCCTTCATTTCTGGACCGATTATGTACCAATCTTTACCAGCAGTATAAAAATAAAAATAAAAAAAGATACAGTTCTTGACCAGCAAAATAAAAAAGAATATATTTGTCTGTCCATTAAATAATACTCCGTATAGAATTAGGGATGGCAATGGGGCGGGTTTGGGACGAGGTACACTCCCCATCCCCGCCCCATGTCTAAAAAGTTTCCCCCATCCCCGTCCCACCCCATTGTCCCCCACGGGTGCCCACAGGTGCCCACGGGTGCCCGCATATAAATTTAATTATCGTATTTGCATATACTTTTAATCTCTTATTATAAATATATGTAGTGCGATTCCAATGAAAACGATGCTCAACGTGGGAACATTCACATTTAATCCAATGTGATACACAATAATCCAATGTGATACACAATAGAGCCATTCTAGTGCACATTTGGACTTCGCTCAATACAAGCTAATATAAATAATCACGGTGGAACTTTTGTAAATATTATGCTAGATACAAAAAAGTGCATTGTGCGAGCTGCTTCACATTGGGGGTAAATGTGGTTTTCGCACGTTCTCATGTTAAACATTGTTCTCATTTGATCCTAAGCCTATATATATCTACGCGCACACAGTGATATATGATACACACGCACGCAACACTGAAGTATTGTGTTTGTTAAAAGTTAATACCACCAATTTTAATAATTCTTAAATTTGAATAAGTTTTGTGAATTGAAGACAATTAAAGTAAAAATATAAGTAAACATATTATCATCATGTACGTTGTTTCAAAATTCTCAACAATTATAATACAATTAATTACATATTATATTAGAAATAAATGTGTGTGTATTTATTTACTCGCTTTATACGGAGTAACATTTATGACAAATATTTTTAATCATCACTAGCTTATTATTATTATTCTAGTATAATATGTATTAATTCATTAACCATGATTAAACCGTATACAATTATGTATGTCTATATGTATATGTGTTTGTTATTTACTACAAATAATTTAATTTAATATGTGTGTACATTATTTATATATGTGTATATATATGTTTGAGTATATATTTATAACGGGGACGGGGCGGGGTAGCAATACCCGTCCCCCGCTCCATATTTTAACGGCGTAAAAATATTTCACCCATCCCCGCCCCACCCCACCCCAAGCCCCACCCCATCCATCCCCGCGGGGCGGTTCCCCACAGGTCCCCGCCCCCATTGCCAACCTTATGTAGAATATGTAACAACAAACGATTTTCACAATGGTGTTTCCCCCAAAAGCAGTCAACAACATTATGATACACCGCCACACTAGAATTTTAAAGCTCAACAAACTCTTTCAAGTTTCTCTTTAGTAAGGAAAGTCTGGGCGTTAATGCGTTATAATTATAACATTCCAAAGACACACACATATAAGAGCATCTCCATTCATGCTTTCTAAATAAACGATTTTTTTGTTACATATCATTGACACATCACATTTATTCAATAAATTCTAAATAATCTCAATGCTTAAAACTCTTCATCAACAATAATATACTCAAATAATCAGTTTTTTCTGGACATGCATTAAATGTAATTTAACTACAATCTAAAATAATCCAGGATTTGAATCTTGATACCAGATTTTCTTTTTCAATAATCTCACTAAATATTCTCTCACTCACAATGATAATCTTTAAAATAATCTTACACATCATCCAATTGATCTTCAAATAAACTCATGAATGGGGATGCCCTAATACAAGTTTGAAGTATAAATAACACGCACACACATGCATTAATACATATTAAAATAATCTTACACATCATCCAAAATAGGATGCTCGTAGGTTTTTTGGAAAGCTACGTAAGACACTCAAGCAAGAATCAAGAAAGTAAGAACGAATATGGAAAGTGCTCAGGAGATTTAGTTGCCAAGAATAGCATATCGAAATCTCGGCCTCTTCCAAATTTGAATTACAAGCTGCCTTTTATAGGCGTATACAAATTGTAACCGCTACCGATAATTATGACTAATTAATTACAACATTAATACAGAATTAAATACACAACTAAACAGCGCATTAATTGCTTGACCGTTACTCTTCCTGGCTGGCAGGTCGGCCAGATTGGCAGGCTCCCGGCTGGGCTGATAAGCAGGCTCCCGGATGGACTGATAGGTAGGCTCCAAGTTGTGGGCTTGGGACCCACAGGTCCAAGTTTGGGGCTTGGGCCGATTAGGCTCTGGGCCTAGTCCCATAACTCCATCACTCCATCAGTCTATTTAAACATCTAATGTTTATTAAACTATATTAAACCACATGTAAATAATATTATAAAACATGTATACTATGTAGTACTCTGTATGCAAGTACATATGGAGTGCATATGATACGGCCGAAACAGACCCAGTCAACACTCGTAGGTCAAGCCGCACGAAGAAGCTTCCAGCACGCTTTGAGGATTATATTATGTAGTTATTTAGTGTGCAGTTGTTTGTAATTAGTGCAAGTAGTGGTTCCTATTTTCATGCTATCATGTACGTAGTATGTATTTAAACTGTACTGGGACATCATCTCAGGTAGCCTGATATATTACGACAACTTATCCCTTCCATTTCTTAAATTCTTCTAGAGTTGATCCCTTGCTCAAAAGAGGGAATTCTACTAGTCTGTATCACTGGTGCTTTCATTGAGAGTTAACCACCATGCCTGACAAACCCAACACTTCATTCGACCCAACTACGATCTTCCAGCTGCTTGAAAATTTGCAGACTCAAATTGGTGAACAGTTGGCCACCCAGGAAGCAAGATTGCAGGGCCAATTGGGAGAGCAAATCACTGCCTTAACCGCTGCCTTAGAGGCAAAGTTACAAATGTCTACCGGAAAAGACACGAGCTTACAACTGCGAAACGAAGGCCAAGGGACGGGGTATTCCAATCGCATGCCCACCATGAAGCTGGACATACCCAAATTTGACGGTCACGACCCACACGAATGGATATTCAACATCCAAGAGTACTTCGATTTCCACAAAACATCGGAGGATCAACGCTTGCAAATCGCCGGATTTTGTTTGGAAAAAGAAGCTTCAGAGTGGTACCGTTGGACCAGGAGAAACAATTTAATTTTTGGGTGGCATGATTTTCTGGAAAAGGTACAACAACGCTTCGGCACTCACCAGTTTATAGATCATCAAGCGGAATTGGCAAAGCTCACGCAGAGGGGAACAGTGACTGATTATCAGTCTGAGTTTGAAAGACACATGAACAAGGTAACCGGCATACAAGAGTCCTTATTAATTTCATTCTTTATTGGCGGACTGAAACCACAGTTAAAACGGGAACTCTTAATTGCAAAACCAAAATCCTTGTTAGAAGCTTTCAAATTAGCAAAGGCCTTCGAAGCACGTAATGAAGACAACTTGCGGGAGAGCCTTCACTCGGTCAAAGGATGGAGTTTCAAGACAGCCACTAACCTTCCAGACAAACTTGTGGAGTGTAACACATCATTGGGAAATGCAAGCGGACACACTGCCACTGTGACAAACAAAGGACTATTACCTACACCAACCACACCCATTCGGAGGATGAGCGCGACAGAGGTCCAATCTCGTCGGGAGAAGGGCCTATGTTTCTATTGTGATCAAAAGTATTCTCCGGGTCACCGGTGCAGAAGCAAACTCCAGCTCCTTATTGGAGCCGATTCTGATGATGAGGAACCCTTCCACAACGAACAATTGCAAGAAGAACCGGGGGGGTACCGAAGTCGAGATTGCAGGTGACATTTCGGCACTAAACACACTGTCCGGTCAAGGTACTCCATGTTCCTTGAGAATTTGGGGTAATGTTGGGAAGAAAAAATGTTTAACCATGATTGACAGCGGAAGCACACACAATTTCATCAAGCCGTCAGCGGTGGAGCAGCTCCAAATATCTACCCAAGCAATCCAACCTTTCAAGGTTTCTGTGGGTAATGGAGACACACTTTCATGTCAACATTACTGTCCCAATGTAGCCCTCATCTTGCAAGGTACTACGTTCCATATAGACTTGCATGTTCTTCCTATAGCCGGACCCGACATTGTTTTGGGGATACAGTGGTTGCAAGGATTGGGGACAATAGCACATGATTATTCAAATTTAACTATGAAATTCAAATATGAAGGTAAGTTGATTACGCTTAAAGGGGAAACTACTCTGAATCCACAACCAGTAACTTTTGCACAGCTAGAAACTCGTGTGCCATCTGATGAAGTGGACACTCTATATGTTCTATATCAATTGCCTCCCGAGCAGCCGCCAGAAAATAAACCTCCTCAACCTCCAGGACAACTAGCCCTACCCTCTCACCTTACAGACTCTTGCAAGGAACTGCTTCTTGAGTTTTCAACCATATTCTCCCCTCCTAAATCCTTACCACCAAAACGACCATTTGATCATCATATACACCTTTTACCTAACACCAAACCCATAAATATTCGCCCTTACCGCTATCCCCATGCCCAAAAGAATGAAATGGAGAGGCTTGTGCAAGAAATGTTGGAACAAGGAATAATTTGGCCTAGCCGAAGTCCATTTTCGTCTCCTGTGTTGCTGGTTCGAAAAAAAGATGGAACCTATAGATTTTGTGTAGATTATAGGGCCTTAAATGCTGCCACGGTTCGGGATAACTTTCCCATTCCCACTGCCGATGAGTTGTTTGACGAATTGGGAGGAGCGACTATATTCACCAAACTGGATTTGAGGGCAGGATACCATCAAATCCGTGTTCGTGCTCATGACGTGCATAAGACAGCCTTCCGGACTCATGATGGGCACTTTGAGTTCCTAGTCATGCCTTTTGGGTTAACAAATGCTCCTGCCACCTTCCAAGCGGCCATGAACGCCATTCTTGCTCCTTACTTACGGAAGTTTGTGACAGTATTTTTCGATGATATTTTGATCTATAGCAGGTCACATGAAGAACATTTGGGTCACCTGAGACAAGTGTTGTCCTGCTTACTCTACCACGAGTTTTACTTAAAACTCGCCAAATGTGTGTTTTGTCAAGAATCCACAGAATACTTGGGGCATATCATCACCAAGGAAGGGGTTAAGGTCGATCCGAATAAAATTGTTGCTATTGAGTCATGGCCAATTCCGAAAACAGTACGTCAGCTGCGTGGATTTCTGGGTTTATCAGGGTACTATAGACGTTTCATTAAGGGATATGCAACCATTGCGTCACCACTCACTGATTTGCTGCAAAAAGATAAATTCATATGGTCCGCTAGTGCCACCCAAGCTTTCCAGGACTTGAAAATGGCATTTACTACAGCCCCTGTCTTGTGTTTACCCAATTTTTCCTTGAAATTTGTGGTGGAGACAGACGCATCAAATGTGGGTATTGGAGCTGTCCTCATGCAACAGGACCATCCCATCTCCTATTTCAGCAAAAAAATTGGCCCAAAACTGCAGACTGCCTCAACCTATATTCAAGAACTATATGCCATCACGGAAGCGGTGCGCAAATGGCGTCAATACCTTCTAGGAAGTTCATTTATCATTAGGACAGATCACCAAAGTCTCAAGACCTTATTCTCTCATGTGATTTTGACTCCAGAGCAACATAAATATGTTGACAAACTTCTAGGCTTTGATTTTCAAATTGAATTCAAGCCCGGAAAGGATAACTCAGCGGCTGATAGTCTCTCTCGAATCCATGAGCATCCAGTTTGTTTATTATTAGCAAGCAGACCTACTCCAGAATTTTTGGATGTACTGCGTGCAGAGAACCAAACTTTCAATGATTTACGCCATTTGCATACACAATTGGAGGCTGGAGCACTTCCTTCGGATTATACTACGAATAATGGTGTACTGCTATATAAAAGGAGGTATTATCTCAGTCCGAACTCATCTTTAATTGATGATTTATTGCATGATTTCCATTGTTCAAAGATGGGAGGCCACACGGGACCAAAGCGCACTCTAGTGAAGCTAGCTTCCATCTTCTACTGGCCTCACATGCGGCGCACAGTGGATGAGTATGTATCGTCTTGTCTTACCTGCCAACAGACCAAGTATATCACTAAGGCTCCGGCAGGCCTCTTGCAGCCCCTACCCATTCCAGAACAGGTGTGGAATGAACTCACCATGGACTTTATTGTGGGGTTACCTGTGTCGCACGGATTTTCTTCTATCATGGTGGTGGTGGACCGTCTTACTAAATTTGCCCATTTCGGCGCTCTTCCAGCAAAGTTCAATTCCATCAGGGTAGCCCATCTGTTTATTGACATTGTAGTGAAATTACATGGCTTCCCTAGTATTTTAATTTCAGACCGGGATCCCGTCTTTATGAGCAAGTTTTGGGAAAAACTTTTTGAGTTGAGTGGCTCTAAGTTGAAGCATAGTACAGCTTATCATCCACAAACTGACGGTCAATCCGAGGTGGTTAACCGAGGCTTGGAGCAGTACTTGCGTGCTTTTGCAATGGAGAAGCCCATTACTTGGTTTGATTTTTTGAGTTGGGCTGAATTTTGCTACAACACAAGTCACAATGAGAGTATTGGAATGACCCCTTTTCAGGCTTTGTATGGACGTGCTCCCCCTATTATTCCCCGTTACACCCCCAATTCCACAGATATCCAAGCTCTTGATTCCTTACTCACTGAGTGTGACAACATAATGCATGTGTTGAAGGAATCCTTACGACAGGCTCAACATCGTATGGTGCAGAAGGCTAATAAGCATCGTCGTGAGGTGGTATTCCAGGAAGGTGATCTAGTTCTCCTCAAGTTACAGTCATTCCGTCAGAACTCGGTGGCTCATAGGCAGTCATTTAAACTGGCAAAACGATACTTTGGTCCCTTTAGAGTGCTCGAACGTGTAGGACATGTTTCTTACAAGTTAGACCTTCCCCCAGGTGCACGCATTCATCCTGTCTTCCATGTCTCCTTGCTTAAGACCTTCAAAGGCCCTGTTAAGGAATCCCCTCCCACTCTGCCGGCGGACCTGCTTGAGGAGTGTCCAAATTCTCCCATCACAGTTTGCGGGACACGACGCATTCTTCGACATGGCCGTTTGGAACCTCAGGTCCTGGTTCATTGGCCTGGGAGTTCCCAGGATGACGTATCTTGGATGGACAAACGCACACTTGACGAAATGCTTCCCAACTTACACCTTGAGGACAAGGTGCCAATTGAAGCGGGGGAGAGTGATACGGCCGAAACAGACCCAGTCAACACTCGTAGGTCAAGCCGCACGAAGAAGCTTCCAGCACGCTTTGAGGATTATATTATGTAGTTATTTAGTGTGCAGTTGTTTGTAATTAGTGCAAGTAGTGGTTCCTATTTTCATGCTATCATGTACGTAGTATGTATTTAAACTGTACTGGGACATCATCTCAGGTAGCTTGATATATTACGACAACTTATCCCTTCCATTTCTTAAATTCTTCTGGAGTTGATCCCTTGCTCAAAAGAGGGAATTCTACTAGTCTGTATCAGCATACCCTATAATTAGACAGTGATCTTTATTTTTTTACTACAACATGGTTGAGTAAGCATTTCAAATAAAAGGATAACATAGATGAAATTGAGCGAGATAGGGTGAGTGAAGAGAAAACCAGCTGATATAAGTAAGGAAAGATGGTATATTTGGATGGAAATTAGGGCAGTAGTAAAGAGAAGGGGAAAGGTTGGAAAGAGGAAAAGAAATGGCTGTAAAGGGTCAGAGAGAAATCTTTTAGTGTCAAACCAAAAAGAACACCATACATGTATTTTTTATAGCATGGTTAAGTAGAGGATTGGTGAAGGTGTCGTAATCGCGGGTAAAAACCACAAGGTGCATTGAGGTCAGAGAAGAGAGACTAGAAGTTAGAAACATGAAGAAAGTTATTCAATTCTGTTAAAAGTCGCATACTGACCTAAGATTTGGTAGAAGGGTTATTACACAAATGTGGAACAACCCGGACTGAACTGCGTAAACAAACCATTTGTGTTCATACTTTATGCTTTGTCGCTGTTGTTTGTGAATAGGATGAATAAGTTGAGTGCTTTACAACACTCTGTAACACACATTATAATAACCTGGAGATCAACGTGGTCAACCAGTACATAGCATTTCAACACAGGCACATATGTTCAACAAAAAAAGATACTATTTAAGAGGGTATTAGGTAAGGAGTGCCCTAGCTTTAAAATGTGGACGTGATTAGTGCACCTTTTTACAAGTTGTGTCAGTGTATGGACTTCAAAGAAAACCTCTGAACTTGAAGAATATAAACCAAATTTTAGCTAAGAAATGGGGTGCATTATCGATTTCTCTTGATCAATGGAGTGCTTCTATGTTTCCATGGAGACGTTCATTAGTGATCTATTATTTGATAAGAAGATAGGATCAGTTTCCACTTGGAAGTGGGTGTAGCCTGACATCATATGCCTCTTGCACCTTTGACATGATTGAATGCTTCATCAACATCAAACCTTAGGCTGGTGGTGTTGAGCTTTTTCCTGTTGACTACTTTTTTTTTTACCCCATTGTAGTTGTTAGGCATCATGTTTTCCTAAACTTGGCTCCATTGTAATCCATGCACCAGTAAAGCATGCATTTCTTTATTTGGATACTGTGTTTAGCTGCCAACCATCAACTCAATATAATTTGCCTCAATGAAGGGTTAGTTGGTCTATTCACCTGCACAATACCTAGTGATGGAACCGGTACGGGCCGATCGGCCCGGCCCGCTACTGTGCGGGACCGGCCCAACCCGGGTACCCAGTTCTGGTACCGGGCTTTAGCCCGACCCGGCCTTCTTACCGATGGCGGTTCCAAGACTGCTAAATAGAGAACCGGCCGGGCCGGGCCCGGCCCGGTTCGGGCCTTAACGGCTACTTTTTTAAAAAAAATTATATTTTCCAGCTCTTCCTAGGCTCCTAGCCATTGGGAAAAGCCCCAAACTGCTATATAGCCGTTGGGTGCAATGAGGGGGGTCCCGGGGGGTTGGGGGTGGGGGTGGGGGTACAAAAAAACTATAAATACTCCTATTTTCTAACATTTTCCTACACCTCTTCTCCAACTCTTCCTACTCTCTAATACTCTTAATCATCCCCATCTTCATCTTCTCAAATTCTCTTATTCTCTTATACATCTATTTTACTATTTATACAATTAATATATCTACGATCTGCCTATATATTAATTATCTACTTATAACTACTAATTTTACTATTCAATATATATTTTAAATATATTATAATATCAGTTAGATTCTCATATCAAATTTATAACATTTGTTATTAGTTGCATTGCTTTTGTACTCATATTAACATATTTGTTGCAATTTAATATTTGTTACATTTTTAAGATGCAAAGTGGTAGACATGCGGTTGATATGGGTAACCTCACTCGGAACCGAAAGAAGGAGATTGCGAAGAATCATCCTTCTTTATGCAAAGGTAAAGGACATATCATGTCTTCTTCTGAAAGCCGAGATGATTTTGACACGGGTTACCAACGGAGAGATGCAATTGCGATGTCCGGCAAACAACTAAAACAAGCATTGAACGAACATAATGGGTGCTTTTTCCAACCACGTGACATCCCCGACATTCAAGAAGAAGAAGAGCTCGAGGATGAGGATGCACCGCCAGCACCGGAGGATGAGGGTGACGGCAACCCCGACGAGGACGAGAACGAGGGTGGGCCGGGTGGCTCATCCCAACCTGCCGGTAAGAAGAAAAGTCAATATGCCCTTATGGAAAATAATTTTGATAAGTGGAAGGACCCGGAGACCGAGAAGTGGTACGCAACTTGCAAGTGATGCAAGAAAGATTGTAGTTTGGGGATTTCACAAGGATACGGGAGCGCCACAAGACATATTAAGTCCTGTCATCACCCGATGACAAGGGGAAGCTAGCAAAGTCTATTGTGACGCTTGTTTGCTACCACGATTGGTAGCAACTCAAGAGCTTAGCATCACCCCCACGGCCCACCCAACACTTTATGGAGGAAACAACAACCGACGGTGGCGGAGATTCCGATGGATTATTATATATTATTTATTAGAAAATGTATTTCATATTTTAATTTTTTTCTCAATTCTCAATTGTAGTTTATATGTCCAAAAAAAATGTACTTGAAGTTTTTTTTATGCAGCATTTCAAGAATTAATTAGGAAACAAGAAAAAATCGACCCGGAACCAGAACCGGACCGGCCCGGTACCCGGGCGGGTGGCCTGGTCCGGTACCGGAACCGTTCAACACATAGGCCGGTGCCGGGTTCCAAGTTTTAAAAAAAGGCCCGATCAGGCCCGACCCGGAACCGGACCAGGCCCGTCCATGACTAACAATACCCATGAAGGAATGTTCAATTTCCTAACTTTGAGCATCCATAGAAACATTGGTCTTTACTTATATCTTAGAGCATCATATTAAACACCTTGTAAGTGTCTCAATATATTTATATATACTAATCCTCTAAGTTCAATGGAAATGACAAAATGTTGTGAAAATGTGAAATGGCCCTAAAGAAAACCGTGAATTTCAAATGTTTGTTTTTGAATGTCATGTCTTTTGGAAGGAGAACTGAGCGTCTGAGCCCCATCCCATATTTGAACATGCATTCTTGATGGGGTCAATCCAATGCCGAAGTAACTATCCTAACTTAGAAGCCAAGTTAAAGTGCCATATGTGCCCAACAGTGACTTCCTCTGCAGTATCATTCACAAGTCACAACCAAAATTTTCTCCACATTCGAGAATCTAGAAGCTTGGCCTTCATAATTTCATATTGCAGTTTCTAGGATATCTAGCATGCAAATTTCATATATCTAGCATGCATAAACTCACCCCAAAGAGATTCTTCTTTTTCCATATCAATTATTGCTTTATCAGCAGTCTTTACAACCTTATATACTGCTGCACTAGTCAAGCCTAAAAAGTTAAGGGTGTAAGAACCTCTAACCAAGGACAGAACGGTCCCCCAAACAAGCATTGATATTTGATGCACATTTGAATGTCAAATCACGGATGTCAAGAAAACCCGACCCACAATGACCCGCCCTGGTCCGAGACATTTGGGGTGGGTCCGCCCCGCCCCGTCTTGCAAATGGGGCGGGTCCGGGTATTAGAATTGACCCGTGCCGCCCCGACCTGCCCCGACCCGCCCCGACCCGCTCAATATATAAGTATATATACTTTTTCTTAAATTATACTACAAATATACTTCAACATACATATGTGTGTATACAATAAATTATAAATGCTTTGATCTTATAATATATTACGTAGTAGTATATATTAGAATGAGATGAACGATGGATTATCAATGTCTTCTTTGTATATAGCATTTTAATACATATATTCAATGATTAATATAGTTAAATAAATTTATTATTCAAGTCTGAGTAATTTTTCCTTAATTTTTGAAATATTTAGCGTATCTTGAATTTGATTTAATATATTAATTTTTAATTATTATTTAGAGATAAACTTTATGTAGATTCAATTGTTAACAACTTCTCACAAATAAAAATACATACTAGCTAATAAGGTTACTGCGGGACGGGGCGGGTCATGGGTCAACAAGTTTGGACCCGGGTGGGTCTGGGTCTTGTAGTACCCGCCCTAACGGGCCTAACCCGACCCATTGCCATGCCTATGTCAAATAAGAGAGGCACTGCGGTCTGCGATCATTATAAATCCTATATTGAAAGCATTCATTTAGGATGTTTTTACTTACTGTAATTTACTGGTCTGGTTTGGTAATGTGTCTGATTTCTTTGTGTTTTATAACTACGGAGGTCTGATCTGGTCTGTTTAAGTTTGATCTGAAATTGAAAACAGTCCAAGTAAAAACATCAATGTGATTTAGTCCAAGTGCACTAAACTTCTTCAAAAGTCCACTTACTAATCCATTACGTGTTAAGAATAAACTCACACAACACGCGAAGAACAATAAGAAAGAACACGAAATTTGGTAACTCAGTTCATCACGAATAAAACCTAACCCCAGGCTTAAAAACGTGCGGCCGATATCTATAAAGACCCAAAAAATTCGGAAGGGACTTAGTTTTTTTTTAAAGGGAAGGGGCTTAGTTATACAATCTCTAACACCTTACATTACGAATAACCAATGAGTAATATTTTTCGAATCCATCTCTACTTTTAAATCTTTCAACTTTCTTTTCCCATATGACACATCACATTCTATGTGTAATGAATAAATCCAGAAATAATTCTCTGATTATGCATCTAAACTCTAAAGTTTGAGATCTTTTATATCCTAGTCATAACAAGAATTTATACATTGGTTTTGCCACACGATTACACGAAGCCTCTTGGATGTTGGAGCACACAAACTCTGAAACTCAGCCAGGCTTGAAGTCTTCAAAAATATTGAGTACATAAAAATACATCTCAAAAACTAGAAATAGTATAAATCAATTCCCTCAAAAGTTGATAATCGAGTTGAGCAAATGCAATTTAAATTGCTACAAATCCTGATTACTTCCCATGAAAAAAAAA